CAGAGGGTTAGGGTTAGGGATTGCCAAGTTGCAAGGAAGTTGATAATGAACGTACAGTATCAGTAAAATAAAACTATGCTAAAACTGCAATAAAACTGTAATTACTGCAGCATTATTAAACTTTTTATGGTTATGTTTAGGCACTCACAGCACTTGGTTAAGGTGAGAGGAAGATTGCGGGCTGGTTTATCACAGAGAAAGTCCACAGTGACTTGAAACACAAACTGTTTAACAAAACTACCATCTAATCTGATTTTGTTGCTTTGGATACAAAACAGTCTTTGGTGTAATAGTCCTCCAAATATCTAGGAAAGGGGTTGATAAACTATACTAGATAGATAGATAGATATTGATACTCATGATTTAAAAAGCACTCCACATTATCCACATGCTTCATGTTCCTCAAGCTTTAAGATACTTTCAAATATTCTGTTTAGATGTGTAAATATCTTGGGTGTGACACAGATTTGCAGGTCACAGCATGCTCCATTTTGTTCTGCACCAGGACTGCATAAATGCCCAGCAGGACATCTTCTGTACACATAAATGTACACGATGCACTGTCACATTTTATACAAGCTGACAGTTGTTTAAAAAAAAACAAAACAAACCTACAACAACGTGATGTTTCAAAGCCTGCATGTGCTCTTGTTTATTTGTGTCACTACGGTACAGTTAATGGCTGTGCTCTATTGATATTAACCAAAAGCACATGCACGTGCACGCTCGCGCACACACACACACACACACACACACACACACACAAACATTTAACTATATGACACAGACTGAAAATGAATCAGATTGCTGGCTGCGCAGTCACACAGTGGTGTTAAGGAAAGGGGGCCTGCTGATTTCTTCTTCTCTGGTCTTTTCCTGATAATTACTATTTTTCTCTGTTTTATTTTTGCTGCTCCTTCAGTCCAAAAGATACGTACAGGACATATTGATCCTACAAAGATACATCTTGTGCATTAATGGGGAATGTGACGTGTAAATAATACAGATGCCCTGTCCCAATTGACAAATACAGCTTCAGGTTTTCAGATTTCTCATGGTTTCTTGCTGTCACAGTGACACTTCCTTTGTCTGTTTCTCAGTGTGTTTAAATTAACTAATAAAGGTCACCTTCACACAGCTATTGACCCTACAAGATGGTAACATTTTGAACGTGTGATGGCACCATTACATGACCACATCGCAAAGAATTCACACAAATTTTTTAATGTAATTATGGCAACCACTGATAGTCCTCGCGTATCTCCCAGTCAAAAGATAACACGAGTTCACACTTGACAGTTGAAAAGGTGATGTGCGATTGTTAGATAACGATGCAATGTGACAGCAGAGGCTCAGCTTTCCTGTGCGCTTCCACACTGACAGCTGCAGAACAAACAAACTTAATACATTACAAAGCCTCAGCAAGTGCAGTTTCTCTCACATCTAATACTGTCTGCGCAGAAAGATACTGGCAATGCGGAGAAATTAAATGTCAGGATATAATATGGTATGTATTCCTTTTCTCTCTGACCTTTCAGATGTTCTGAAGTATATCCAGCGTATATCATAAATGCAGACGTGCATGATATTGCGACCGGATAGCAGATATGAAACATATCCAGTGCAACAAGTATGATTATTCAATTGATAGAAGTGTGTCAGTGTATTAAAAGTCATCAATTAAGAATGAATGAACCACGAGCAGAGTCTTCTTATCTCATTAGAAAATTGATCGTGCATCATCATCACTCAATCCTCGTGCAAAAACCGAACATCAAGTGTGTGCACTCTGTATTCCCTGCCAGGAACATGATGGTTTTGGAGAGGCAGCGTAATGCTTCCCAAGGTTTCCATTGGGCTGATGAGTGATGCGAGTAATCATGCTGCCTGTACAGACTAATCATGAGTGATTCTCCCTGAGGCGAGAAGTGAAAACATAAACACAACAACAGCAACAGCAGCATTTTGTTTCTGTCAGCTACTGTATGTCCAGACCCATTTCAATGTCTTTTATGACACATTTCCTCTGGATCTCAAAATTGTGTGCAGAGAGAGAGAAAGGCTCTTCATACACACTCAGCCTGCTGCCATTACAGAGTGCACCTCTCCTACACTCATACATTATAGTATTTTTAGTCCTCTTCATTAGGACAGATAGATAACCCATCATAGCTCCTGCAGCAGAAGCAGGTATCATATACAGCTGTAGCAGAAATTAAACTTGGTGGATGTTCTTTCTGAACTGCTGTGTAAGTCATTTCACGCTGGTGGGGTAAGCAGTCTCACTTGGACTATTTTTGTTGAGATTGAGTGCTGTGGTCAGAGTTGTGTAGGTATACAGGCCAGAATTTACCGCCGAGGCCTCTGGAGGTTTCGTGGGCTGATCTCAATGAAATATATGTGCAGGGTCTGTCCAATAACTACCGTGACTTCTCCGCCTCCTCTGCATTCCTCCCCTCTTCCTTAACTCACTGAAAACTTACCCTCACATTTTACAACAGACTGTTTCTTGTAAGCACCTTTCAGACTTTCCCCAATTGAAAAGTTGATATAGCACTACCATAACCATACTTTACACTGTGAACTTTTTAAGATGTTAGTCACTGCTCTGCTTCTCTTTCTCTGTCATTGTTTGATGTCATCTTTAGAAAAACTGAAGGAACTCAGACTGAAATTACACCCTTGTGCTGTATTCTTCTTTATTATCTATCAATACACTCGTCCTTTACTCCCACGCATCTGTGGTGCTTTTCACAATCAAATCTTTACAAACACAACTAACAGCCTATAGCCCGGCATCTCCGTGAGCCTGTACTTAGGTACAACAGTGCTTTGAGCTAAATGTTACAAGTTACTATTAACATGCTCACAATGACAGTGCTAACATGCTGATGTTTAGCACATGTAATGTTTGCCATGTTCACCATCTTAGTTAGCATGGTAACATTTGCTAATTGGCACTAAATGGAAAGTAGCCTGCAGCCGATGGGATGTTAATTTTGTATTTGGTCATAAACCAGAATACTTTACAAAGTAAGATTTTTACCTGATGATGGCGCTACATGAAAAGTCTGGAGATCACAAAAGTCATTAAGATACATAGTCTGGGAACCATGAATGTCTGTACTAAATTTAGTGGTAATCCATCTTGTACATCTTTGCATATTTTTTAGGATAAATATAAACTTTGACCTGCTCATGGAACTACAGGAGTAGTCAGAGGATCACCAAAGCCATTTGGATTCATCCTCTGGGGAACATGGATACATGTAGAAAATTTAATAGGAATACTTCCAACAGCTGTCAAAACGTATCAATAAAAATAAAACATGTCAATGTCACAATGGCTTTAGAGGAAAAGGAAAGGATCCCCAGCATCATTAGGATCCATCCTCTGGGGACCATGAGTATTTGTATGAAATTTCATAGCGATCGATTCAAGATTTGTTGAGATATTCCAGTTTGGACCAAAGTAGTGAACCAGCTGAGCAACCAACAGACCAACATTGCCATTCACAGTTTGGCTGAAAATCATTTTGAGAATCATGCTCACCTGTGGATGGCCCGAAATCTAACCGGAAGCTTGCAACAAATATCCTCCAGTAATGATATAGAAATGAGCTCACTGAACTCCCACAGCATGAGCCAGATCATTTTAATTACTGCTCTTCATCTTAGGAAGACGCACATGGTCTATCTTTAGAAGGAACAGTAAAGAGGGAGGCTTCAGAGCTTTTGTTCAGCAAACTGGCCCTATTCTTCTGATTGTCCCCTGCTTTGTACGCCGCTGATGGTGGTTGCTTAAAGGCGGATTTTGTAAAGGTCACTTCGCAGAGTGCATGAAGACTGTTGCAGTTACGAACACTATGCAGCCACAGGAGGATGTTAATCTGTGTTCAAATAAACAATTACCCCTGAGAAATGCTCTCAAACAGGCCTCAAACTTGCATATGCATGCGGCAATTTCAGCAGACCCACACAATCACTTGCAGCTGCATGATCCTAATGGTTTCTGATGTTCACAGTAATGGGCTATGGACGAAAGGCAGCTACAGATAAATAAGTGCTGTGGTGAAAATTGTAAAAAGGCACACCTGCTTGGCATTAAAGTCAAACATTTGTTTAATCAACAATTTGTGCAACATGTTGTGAACTGAACAGGTCGAACATATTGGAATAAACACTGAATGCTTCAACATTTTTACTGCCCAAAAAGCATACTCAACATGATGACAGTGAAACTTTTATCCAGGGATGAGAAATGTTCCAGATGTATTAAAAATCATCTGAGACAGGAAAATAAATATCTTAAATATTTCATCAGCCTTGCTACTGGCAAGTAATTGCATCACTACCATGGTTTAGTAAGGTAATTTCATGGCGGTGACTGTCTGGTGAGAACAGTCAGTCCACTAATGGAGCTCTGCTAACACAGGCCACAGGCCATGGAGAGCAGGAGAAGAAGTACCACAAAGGTGAAAGCTGGCAGACAATGAGAGGAGCTGCTCAATAAAGACGTCTAATTGAGCTGTAAAGCCACAATATGAGAGATTCTTGGGCAGAGATGTTAGGAGCTGTTGGGTGGCAGGTGGAGCAAGAGGCTGTTAATTTTGGATGACAGCCATTAATGAGAATCACAAAAGGGATGTGATGAAGCATTAATCTATGCTCCAATTAAAGCACTTGGACAAACGGCATCCCTTTAGGATAAGAAATAGGCAGGAAAACAGTCCTCATATATTGCCTTGCTTTGTGCGCTTTGCCAAAAGGAGCGCGCGGAAAGGCAGACACACTCTCACACACACACAGCGCAGAGAGAGATAGAGAGAGGGGGGGGGGGGGAGAGAGAGAGAGAGAGAGAGAGAGAGAGAGAGAGAGAGAGAGAAAATGCGACCAAACCTCTTCTGGGCGCCGCGTCACTAATTTGCCGTCCAGTTTCCGTGCGCTCCTGTGCACCTGCCTGACTTCTTAGTAACAAAATCTCACCTGAATTTTAGAGAATGGAGCCTACCACTCTTCCTTCCCTTCTTGGTGATTTTAACGAGCGCTACTCGGTCTCCGTAACTCCTTTCAATGTTACATTCTCCGAGGATCTGCTGCTTCTGCCTTCAAAAAGCAACGACACCATCAGGGCTACAAACAGGGACACTATAAGGCTCATCATCGCCGTGTGTATCACGGCTCTCTACTCTCTCATCTGTGTGGTGGGACTACTAGGAAACGTGCTTGTAATGTACGGGGTGATCAGGTAAGACTAATTAGTAAATGAAAAAAATATTTAAAAGGAGGACAAGTTATTTGTGACTAGTTTAATATTAACTATAATTTGCTGCTGGCTACTTGCTGAACAGTGAAAACCGACACACGCACACACTTAATAGCATAAGATCCAGTATGGAAATTGTAAAAAGCCTATATCTTTCATGAAATGTTTCAAATTGCATTTAAGTGCCCTGCAAACTCACTTATGGCAATATTTGATATTCTAGGATTATAATAATACATTTTAATGATGGGCTATGTCTAAAAATATATTTTTTTAATTGCCCACAGTTCCAGTTGGTGTGAGAGCCACTTTCTAACACACCCACAGGAGCACACACACCTCCTCCTACACATAGGAGAGGAGAGAGGGGATAGAGGGCGGTGTGAGCTACAGCTTAGCCTTGAAATTACTTCATTGCACCTCTCAGGAATGATGTTGTAAACACAGGTGATTAATTTGCATTGGGAATAAGCAGCATGTTGAATCCTTACCTCTAAATCAAAAGCAATGACTGCGCTTCTGTGTGTGTGTGTGTGTGTGTGTGTGTGTGTGTGTGTGTGTGTGTGTGTGTGTGTGTGTGTGTGTGTGTGTGCGTGGCAATTTGTGTCATGTTGATTTGATGCTGAAATAATGCAGCTTAAATGAGAGAGCACTGATGTGGTGGTTCCTCCACTGTCAATCAATCCACTCACTCAACAGCCTGCTAAATCCTGGAGAAATGCGTGGAAGATGAAATGTGACAGGTGTTTTGTTTTGTTTTTTTTTTGTTTTTTTTAAATGTTTTTCACAGTAATCAAAGTGAATATAAAAGGCATTGTTCTCACTCTCTCCCTGGCAAAGGAATGACATACAGAGTGAGATCAGTACATGGTGTGTAATGCAATAAATCTCTTCATGTGGTGGATTAAGAGAAAAGGTAAGGCATCCCTCTGTCTTCCTCCATCCTTTCACAGCCTGTTGCTGCAATTTAATTAAATGTGACCAATTACTGTCACACTGTGGACTCGTGGAGGAATCCATCTTTAACCAGCCAGACAACTGTGCAGCTGGCATTCAGACAAAGCTGGTCACTGGCAAAAGAAAAAAAAAACTACTTTGTGAATCGGAACTCAAGGAGGGAAGTTTTGAAGGATTTCTCAGCTGGAACTGACTCATTACATAGAAGTGCAGTTTAATGGAGGCTTACAGTCACTGTGGCAGAGCATAGAAGCTCTCATGCATTTAGTGTTTGCCATAAAAACATTATACATCTGAAAGGCTCTATTATTTTTCAAGGGGAAAGAGCAGATAATTGGTTTGAAAGTGGAAACAGATTAGATCCAACAATAAATTTGTTTCTAACCTTGAAACGTTTCAATCGAAATCACGAGTCTACCACACAAGGTATTTTCTCTGCCACACAGCAGTAGGCAGACCTTGAAAAAACAGCTGTCGCCACATGTGAGACCGAATCAATTAAAACCGCTCAGTGCTTTTTCTTCCAAACAACCAGGTACACCAAGATGAAGACCGCCACCAACATCTACATCTTCAACCTTGCTCTTGCTGATGCTCTCGCCACCAGCACCCTCCCCTTCCAGAGCGCCAAGTACCTGATGAGAACATGGCCCTTTGGGGAGCTGTTGTGTAAAGTGGTTATTGCCATCGACTACTACAACATGTTCACCAGCATCTTCACTCTCACCATGATGAGCGTGGACCGCTACATTGCTGTATGTCATCCTGTGAGGGCCCTGGACTTCCGCACGCCTGCCAAAGCCAAACTCATCAACGTCTGCATCTGGATCCTCTCCTCTGCTGTCGGAGTACCTGTGATGATCATAGCTGTTACCAAGGTGATGGATAAAGGTGAGGGACTTTTATTGTTGCAAGAGAAATGCTGGAAATTACCATAATTTCTCCTCACAGGCTTATTTAGCAAGTGTTGATTTCAGGGAGCTTTAAAAGAGAAAACATTTGAGCTTCTCCACATGGCCCTCTATTAAAATTGTAATTGTTGTAACTCCTCAGGAAACACTGTCTGCACACTCGGATTTCCCGAACCTGACTGGTACTGGGACACAGTGATGAAAATCTGCGTGTTCATCTTTGCCTTTGTGGTACCTGTCCTGGTCATCACTGTCTGCTATGGTCTGATGATCCTGCGACTCAAGAGCGTCCGTCTGCTCTCTGGCTCTAAAGAGAAAGACAGGAACCTGCGGCGCATCACCCGCATGGTCCTGGTGGTCGTGGCAGCCTTCATCATCTGCTGGACTCCCATCCACATCTTCATCATTGTCAAGACCATGGTGAAAATTGACAACAAGGACCTCCTTGTAATGGCCAGCTGGCATCTGTGCATTGCACTGGGCTACACCAACAGCAGTCTCAACCCTGTGCTGTACGCCTTCTTGGATGAGAACTTCAAGAGGTGCTTCAGGGATTTCTGCCTGCCCTATCGCTCCCGCCAGGACCAGAGCAGCTTCTCCAGAGCGCGCAACAGCACGCGAGAGCCTGTGTCTGTTTGTGCTCCTGCGACGAGAGAGAGACAGCCGGCCTGACTAGGCATGGATCAGTGCGGCGGGGGAACAGTTCAGGATGACCTCCAGAGCGAGGTCACACAGTTGTCCACCACAGGAGTCTGAGTCTGCAGACATAAAGTGGGCTTTTGACTTGCTGCATAAATTGTTCAGTTGTGTTTTTGAATTCATGTAATGAAATGAAACTGTATAACCTGTGCATAAGGAAATGGATACAATCTTGGAGTGTATACACACACTCACACACACACATCCACACACCCATTTAAACTTGCAGGGTCCTGCAATTTGGTCCCCACAAAGCTGTTGGACCCTGCAAGTATAGTGCGCTCCTGGTTTTTGGACTGCATAAATATAGTAAAACAAAGCCACCAACACACACAGACCAAACTACAGAGAGAATTCCAAGAGTTATATGTTTTTTACTGTTTTGGCTCGACTTCAGCAGAATACAAGATAAATACAAGGTTAAAATGCTGACTCTCTAAGCTTTAAAAATCATTGTGGGTCTTCACATCCATATAAGGTGAACAATGGAGGACTCATTGCCACGTTTATACATAGTCTCACCATGATCACTTTGCCAAGCAGGACATTGATCCTAAACACACAGACAAGGCCACCAAAGAGTCTTTTTATGGCCAAACACTGGCCAGTGTATGATTGGACGAGTCAGTCACCTGACCTCATCCCCACAGACAATTTGTTGCACTTGAAGGAGACCAGACTGACTGAGAAAATCCTCTGTAGCAGCAAGAAGTGAAGACAGCTGCAGTCCAGGCTTGGCCTCGCGTCAGCAGTGAAGATACTTCTGGGAATCAGACACTTCAGCCTGTCATTGATTTACAGCTAGATATTACACATGATGACTTTATTTAACTTTAGACTGGCTTGTGAAATTAATTTCTATTCCCTAAAACTGGGGGACTGCTATGGCTGAAAACAAAGCTATGCGAGTAGTGAGAGAGAACCCAAAACCAAACCAATGAGCCGACAGACACTGTAATGCTCTGTAGAGCTGAGAGGAACTGCAGAGTTAAGTGATAATTATCTGTGGTTTTATGACTACAAGCTGCTCCTTTCACATTACACATAGTCACTGAATCCATTGTTAATATAAAGTATTATAGAGCAGCTTTAAAGCTGAATTTGCTTTAACCTGAGGGTTCAAGTTCACATCCAGTGCACTGGAGTATAGAGCCAACACAGTGAAACACGTCTCTGCACTTATTCTTTCTGACTACATCTCGACTGGTAATAGTATTTTCATTCAACCTCACTGGGGAGGTAAATGAGAATCCAATAATGTGAATGTTTAGCTGAGACTGTTTTCATTGTCTCTCTGTGATGTTTAGATTAGAGGATGTATCCAATTTCATGCACTTCCTTGCAGCAGTAGGAGGAGAAATAATAAGAGACGAAGGCCACACATATAATTGAGGAAGATTTTAAAAGAGGTGAAATTCAAAATGACCACTGCGCCATGTTTCAGTGTCATTTTTCCACTTTTACTGAACCAATACATTATGAAAGACGCTTGTAAAAGACACCTTAAATAAAATGAAAACTAAAATATGGCCTTCATGATTAAGCAGGGATGACGAGTGCTTCGGGCATATATTCACAATGAACATCAGTGCTCAGCTGACTCACCGTTTCCACTCCTCTAGCAGTTAGGCTGCTCTATTTCTTTTTGTGCAAACAAAATATTCAGCTCACAGTAAACTGAGGAGCTGAGGAGGAAGAAACTGGCACTGCAGTTCAGTTTCAACTCATAGAGAGGTGAGTGAATGATCCCAAACTGGCATGGAGGCAAGTCTGAATCGGATCCAATGCATTAGCATGCCACAAGAATCTTCCCATACATACTACAGCTAATGGACAATTTTCCACTGATCGTTGGACACTTGCTGCGGTAGATATGGACTTTTTTTTTTGCACATTTTGAGAGAACAGTCAAATTGTTGTCGGTCATCTTTCCACTGCAGCAATGCAGCTTTGTTAGAAAGGCAGGCATCTACAGTATATACTGTATCAAGTGTAAAATTAGTATCGTTATGTAACAGCATATTAGGTGATAATGTGATTTTTTTTTCTCTTTTGTTTTAATGTGCCGTCAAACTGTTGTACCATTAAGCTTCACTTGTAACCTATTAGTTAAGTCAAATATTATATAACTATGTATTTACACCAAGTGCTATAAGTAATAAGTGAAGCATTTGAAATTTTAAAAAAAAAAGAAGAAAAAGTTCCTGTCTGCAGTCTGAATTGTCTCTAACTTTTTTTTTTTTTTTTTAATACAGCCATCACTGTAAGAAAAGCATTTATAAATGTTTTCTGCAATGTGGTCGACAATATGTTCAGCTGAATGAAAATCTGTACCATAATGCCTTATTCAGCGTTATGTTTAGTTCTCGTTGCAACAAGTGAATTGTTGTGTAGAAAAAAAGTGCTTGATCTTTATAAATTTCTCACATTTTTTTCTTTCATCAAATGTAATATATAAAGTAATTTATTATATAAATGTAATTAATTTTGTCTTTTGAAAACATTGATACAACTATTATATGGAATAGCATAAGTTGTATCTTGTAAGTGCTTTTATTTTGAAATATTGTTGTTGATAACTTTTAGTTTGAATCCAGTAATTTGTTTTCCGTGGTTGTTATTACAAATGTTGTTTACACTTCTACTCTGTAAATGCCAGTGAGGCCTCATGGGAGTTACACATGTAATTAGTTGGTACAATGATGTATGGATTACTGATTGGGATATGTGGACGGGGGCCCAGGGGGCCTTTGACCTGGAAGCCCCTTGTGGTCACAGGTCACGGGGTGAATAAGATGCTTCTAAAATGCGTGTGTAAATGTGACTGAACAAATGAAAGCACAATGTGAAATAAGTCAGGGATGATATCGGGGTGTCTGGACTCCAGATGCCCTGAAGAAATAACTCATATTACAGTGTAACAATTAAAGGATAAGGCTGGTGATATATTATATTTCTGTTATTGTCAACAAATCCTATGAACCTCCACAACCTGTCTGTGGCTCTCACCATGAGCACATTCACTCCTACTGAAGACATATATCTTTATATCTTTACAAATGAGACACAAATATATATTTAATAAAAAAAAAAAAAAAAAGTTACACAGTGTATTTCTTATGGGCGATTTGCTCTATTAAGTATTTACAACAGCAGCACAGTGTATGAGGGATTCACTCAAAATAAATTACAGTTCCCATGTTCTTGATAATGAAGGAACATAACGCCCAGTACACAGTGTGGCTCACTCATGTGCTTTTAATATTTTTTGGACCGTAACGGAGCTCTATGGCACAGAGGAGTATGTTACATCAGGCTTTGGCTACATAGACACGAACAATTTATTATTGTTTCTTGTCCTTCTACACAATTTATTGACACTAAGGCAAATGTAGAATAACACAAGCCTTATCATTTAAATTACACAGGCCCAAAGCCCACGACTGACACGAAGTCAGACTACCACTTTATTCACACTTTTTGTACACTCATTGTGGAAAAATAAATAATAAAATAAACCACTGTACAATCTTTTTAAAAGAATTAATTTTCATTGAGTGGAGACTGTGCACACTCAACTGGACGGGTCACATTGGAGTGCAAGTCGAGTACAAACAGCCATGACTGGTTGATAAGGACTGTGACATTATTGCAGATGCAGTTAACACTTGAATGAGACATTCTTACTGTAAATGCCAGTGAGGCTCACAGAAGATGTGCTGAAAATCACAAACCTTGGCTATTTTTATGTCATGGTCCATAGATGACATGTGTGAGTGGTATTTCACTGAAATTCTTACACACATTAAAGGGCTGAAATCACTCTCTGCTGAAAGACTGATGATGTGTCGGAGAACAGACACTGTTTAGATGGCATCGCTCTCCCGCATTCCTCTTTCAGAGTCTTGTGGATGTTGAAATATCCCACTCAAATGACGGTAAACTCAGAAGCTCTTATACAAAGCTGGTATCAGGCAGAGCAGACAGAAAGTGACATTTGTGATGATGGCGTAGGGGGTAGGGGGGGCTACGGGACTTGCTGAAGATTTCCTCTCTGCTACAGAGCAGAACATACAGCATGTTCCCTATGAAATATACATGCCTATATGTTCGCTGTGTAAAAGACAAATGAAAAAACAAAATGAATAATTTAGTCAAACACTATGAGTGGGCTGAGGTGTTCTGGGAGCCTGAATGCACATGCAACAGGCATTTTTAAAAAAAATAATAATTTGCACAGATCACACACATATGTCCTGTAGACCAGTTCCAGAGTGACAAGAAGAAATTGAAAGCTTTCATCTTCTGACCCTTACTAATGGTCGCACATGCACTTAAACAAATCAACAGAGGGAAACGAGAACAGAGAGTGGATCTTGCTGCAGCTTTAATAACAGCTCTTACTGCTGCGATGCTAGTATTTCCTTACTAACATCAAAAGCTTGGAACAGCCAATAGTTTTGAAGTAAGATTTTCTTTTCTGTTTCATCTAGGTGACATTTGTTATGTGACTTCCCCTTTTCATTTGTCGGTGAGGGGAACTTTGCGAGGAGATCTAAGTGAGTGAGGGAGATGTCTTGCTCCTCACTAACACTGCAAAGGCAGATTTGCTGCTTGGCCTGATGGAACACAATTATCTTGTTTGGCAGCTTGAACAGAAGCACGACTTGAGCTCCATTACACCAAAGCATTGCAGCCATGTAATTCTTTCATCATAACAGCAGACATCTACATAGTGAAAGTGAGGCTTTTCACACAACAGAGGATCTTGGTAAGCAGTGCACAACCTGCCAGCGCTGAGTCAAAACCACATAACCCAAAATTACAGACATACCCATAAGGAATCAGTTAATGAGCTGATGATTATGCAGAGATTTGGATAATGCATTTGATGAGCTGTCCTGCTGTTCTGTATGATAGACTGACAGATCATCAAACTTTCAAGTTCCCTGAGGTGTTTACAAAATGCCAGA